TGAACACACTGGGAACATAGGCTTCCGGAGTCGGGAGCCTCGTGTTTCTCGTGTACTTGGCACCATCAGTGCCCAGCACTGGGCCTGGCCTGCAGTGCACCCTCAGTAAATACTAGCAGACCCAGGCAAGTGGTAGCCTCTGCCTGCCTCAGTTTCCCTTTCTGTTTTGCTAGGTGATAAACTGTGTGAAAGCAGAAATGAGTCTGGTTTACCTAGGCCTCAATGCTCAGCACATGGAGTGGTCCATGCATTTTGTAAACAAACAGGGAACAGATAGATTGAGGAGGAAGTCGTGGCCCGAGAGAGTGAGAGCTCACGATGCAGCCCCTCCCTCCCCCCCACCTCCCTTCCACAGAGGCCCCTTCCTTCCCTCTGAGGGGTTTTGGATGGTCCTTTCCTCTGCCCACCCTGGTTGAAACTGGCCACCAGGAACCTCTGAGGCTTCCTGGCTGTGAGACTTTGGAAAAGTCACTTGGCCTCTCTGAAGCTCCATTGCCTCTTCTGTAAAATGGGGCTGATATGACTCATTGAAAGCATTTTGTGGGGCTTGGTGCTGGATTGCCCAGCACAGTCTGTGCCTGGCAGGTAGTGGGCACAGGTGCGGAAGCAGCCCCGCTTGGTGGTAGTGCTCGGCCCTCTGTCCGTGGTGTGAGATCTCTGATGAGCCGGCTGACGGATTGCCGATTGGCTGATGGAGGGGCATGGGTTGATCTTGGGCTGGGAGAGGAGGCGGTGAGGGGTTACGGTTCCCCTGAGGCCCTGGCAGCTGTCCCTGCACTTTGCCCTTGGCTGGGTCATTTGGTGCCCTTTCTCCTGCATCAACTGTGACTGGGGGGCTCGGCTGGGGGATGGGCCCAGCTCCCAAGGAGAGCTGTCTCCTGTCTCCCTTGCAATGGGGAGCCTCCAAGAGCTTCCCCACCAGGCCGCCCATTTAGGGCACGGACAGCAGCTGCAGAATGCAGGCCCCCAGGCCCCTTAGCCTGTCACTCAACTCTCTGGGCCTCCAGACTTTGAAATGGAGGAGATACAATCAAACTGAAGATTTACAGGTCAGGAGAGAGGAGCAGATGAGATAGTGTATATGAAAGCGCTCTGGCCTCTGTCATGGATACTCCCAAGGTTATAATACAATAGCTCTATTGACATCACTGGGAGCCAGCCCACAGAGGTGGGGGCATGCCCGGGGCCCTGTGGCGCCCAGGCCAGGCTGCCTGGCCCTGACATGTGGCTGCTGCGGGACATGGACAAGTGACTTTCCTCTCCCAGCCTCAGTGTTCTCATCTGCAAAATGTGGCAGCCCCCCTATTGGGTTCCTGGGAGGATCCACTGAGGCCACAGGAGGCCAAGTCTAGTCTCAGAGTTAGCGACTGCTCCTGGCACACCTGCTTTGGGGACTGCAGTTTGCCCATCTGTAATATGAAGATGATGATCCCACCCATCACTCAGGTCACCCGGAGGATTCAAGAAATCAAACCATGTAATGTGCATAGCTTGAGTGTTGGACACATAGAAAGCACTCACTCAGCTGTTATGATGGAGGTTTTTTGCTGGTTGTAGCAAAGCCAGTCAGGATGAGAACCTGTTCCCACCCCTACCTGCTCTGTACCTACGTGCCTCCTCCTTGCTCATGACAGAGACCAGTATGGATGGGAGCAGAGTGACCCCCATTGGCTCACCCAGCCAGAATTGCATTTCTAGTGTCTTTGGAGCACCAGGGCAGTGGGACTGCTCTGCAGCAGTTGCCACCAGCAACCTGAAGGGGGCAGAGTCTCTAGGAAGCCACCATGGGGGTTAGGCCTTGAGGACTTTATTCAGCTGGGGGCTGAGCAGGTGAGCAGATAGTGAACCTTGACCTTCTCCAAACCTGCCTCTGCGCCATCTCCCAGCTGCTCCAGCTGCTCGAAGTCCACCTTTCTCCTCATACATGTCCCACCCCCAAGGGGACCCCGAAGCACAGCAGCTAGCTTTATCCTTCCTTCTGGCTATGGAAGCAACTCCTATTCATTGTGGGAAAATAATGTGAAAGTTCAGAAAAATATAGCACCCCAAGCCCCAGACTTCCAGGTGTTTTTGTGCAAATACACATAGACATGTAATTCTATTTAAACTTTGGATCAACTGAACATTACATACAAGAGTAGAATCTTGTGACACTTGGTTTTCAAAAACTGAAATGAGTATACTTTATTTTTAAAACCTTTCTCTTTTAAAAAATATTTTGTTTATTTATTTTCAGAGAGAAGGGAAGGGAAGAAGAAAGGGAGAGAAACATCAATGTGTGGTTGCCTCTCACATGCGCCCCCAACTGGGGCTGAACCCACAACCCAGGCATGTGCGCTGACCTGGGAATTGAACCAGCGACCGTTTGCTTTGCGAGATGTTGCCCAAGCAACTGAGACACACTGGTCAGGGCCCCAAGTATTCTTTTTGATGCTAGTGTACATGAAATTATTTTACCAATTATATTTTGAAGTGTTCATTGCAAGTGTATAGAGATACAATTGACTTTTGTATGGTCATCCTGTGTCTTGCGACCTTGCTGAACTCATTTATTAGCTCACATGTGCACACATACACACACACACATTAGATTCTTCAGGATTTCTTCTTCCTTTGCAATATGGATTCCTTCTTTTTCAGCCTGAGTGCCCGAGCTGGAACTTCCAGGACTACGCTGAATAGAAGTGGCCAAGAGCACACATCCCTGTCTTGCTCCTGCTCTCAGGGGGTAAGCATCCAGTCTTTCATCTTCAGACAGGGTGCTGCTGGTGAAGACTTGTTTCTGGATTTCCTGAAGGGTTGGCTGGTTACACCCTCACTACCGACTGCGTGTGAGAAGGACCCCTGTCCTCTCGCCCCTTGCATCAACATGGTAGACCCAAATTTTAGAGGCAAGAAACTCGGGGCCAGAGAGGGGAAGTGCTGCAGGCCTCATCCTACAGCTGCTCAGCTGCCTTCCCTCCAGGGACCATCCAGCTGATCATACTCACTGGGCAGGGAGCCTCCGGGACACTCAGTTTTCCCTCCACGACCCACCAAGAGCAGCCACGGGGACAGAGGGAAGTCTGGGTTCTGTTCCAGGCTCTGTTCTAGGCTTGGCCACTGACTTTTGGTACCACCTTGGGCCTCCGTTTTCCCAGCTGTGCAGTGGGATTGATGGCATCGTACATTTTGAAGTCCTCTAATTTTGACTACCCACCTTAAACCCACAGTGGCTTCTACCACTACCCTTATGGGCCACCAGAGGGCGCCCCAGACCAGCAGTTGGCCCTGCTTGCTGCACAAGAGCCCGAGGGAGGCTGAAAGGCAGGGCCGCTAGTTTTGCTTCCATGGGCTTCCTTGTGGCTAGACCTGCCCAGGCCCTCTGGCAGAGCGCCGAGCGCTCTGGAGGGAAGACGGAGACATTGCCCCCAACACCAATGACCCTGCACTCATCCCTGCCTGCTTTCAGTTAGCTACCTAAGGCCGGGCACCCCAGCGCCAGGGCCAACAGCCTCGAGTTTGTCAGCTTCAAAATGTTTACACTGTCTCTGGGCCTCTTTCAGGCTCTGCACCCTTTCCCTACTGCGGACCTACTGCGGGGTCCGGCGGTAGAGAGCCCTCATCCTGGTGAGTGTCTGGTTCCTGGAAAAGGTGCATCACAACCCATTTCAGATGTGGATGGATTCTTGCTGGGCTTCCTGGACAGTGCAGCCTCTGAAACCATAGCGTCCCAGGTCCCTGGTGCCTCACGTGCCAGACCCCAGAAACCCGCTTTGTGAAGGGCTCTGTCAGCCCCTCCAGGCTCCCCCAAGGCCCATTTACCCTCCAAACAGAAGCAGAAGTTTTGTTTTGCAACTTGAATTCCAAGACAAAGTGGCATCTCTCAGCCCCTTGCTCAAAGGGTTGCCTGGCCTGCTGAATTTGCCTCGAACTCTCCTTCCAGACCAGTTCCCCAGAAGGCACAGTGAGTCTCGTTCTCCTGGGCTCCTTGGATCGTGGCTGGTTCAGGACTCCAGTCCAGTAGAAGGTCAACAAATGTCACCATGGGAACCACCAACCCCACCCTCTCCTCCCACTCCAGTCCCAGGGATGCCTCTGTCCCTGACTTAGCTGTTTGACTTTGGGCCAGTCACTCAGCCTCTCTGAGCATTCACTTTGTTTTCTTCCTTGCTCTCCAGCTTCCTTCAAAAGGTTGCCGGCATCGGGGAGGATGTGAGAGCCCTTATGTGAAAGGGGACATGCTCTCCCTGTGTCGGGTCAGAGGGGTCAGAGGGCTGGGCTTGCAGCCGGGGAGGTTGCATGGAGGAGGGGCCATGCCTGCCCAGGAGCCCCACGCCATCAAATGACAGTGGCCAACATTTCCTGGCTTGTTGCATGGACCAGACCCTGTGCTGAGTACCTCACCTGGATTCTCTCTCTGGATCCCCTCAGGGACCCTTTGAATAGGCAGAATTATTGTCCCCAGCTTTGCAGATGGGGAAACCGAGGCACAGAGCAATTAGCTACCATGCTGGGGTCACACAGCTGGCAAACAGTGGGGCTGGGACTTGTACCCAAGCGTCTGGTCCCTGGAGGCCATGCTTTTAGCCACCGAGATGTTTGAGCTGAAGCAGGGCAGAGATAGACAGCTCTGGGGTCTTTTTGTCTGCTATACAGGGACCTCCAGGGGTCAGAGGGCATTTGCTCGAACCTTCCCCTTTCCAGACTGGAGAGCCGCGGCCAGAGGGAGTGCAGTCTCTCTGTCCCTGTCTGTCTCACACACTGGGGCCTCTGGGGCAGAGCAAGACCCTGACGAGCATCCAGTGTGGCCACAGCAGGAAAACTGGGGACGCCTAAAGCCCCCAGCATCTCAGAACCCTCGTTCCTCAAAGTTGTCTTGGGGCCTACTTCCCACGGCTGGCCTCTGTCTTGGTCAGATTCATTGTCCAATTTGGGGTCCAGGGAGTGGGGGTGGGAGGAAGTACCTCGAAGGCTCTAAATGATGCCCACCCTCCAGCCCAGACCCTGGGCACCCACAGGCCCCTCCTCCCCAACACCGGGCCCTTATCAGGAAAGCAATTGAGGTTGCAGGGGAGGGGGAAGTCCGAGGCCTCAGGCTCTGGCAAGGTGGGTGGAAGAGATAGGGAAGTGGGGAGGGGGCGTGGGCCCTGCCGGGGTGGGGGGGGGTGGGGGGGGCCCTGAGGATGGAAGGCGTGCCCAGAGCCGGCTCAGCAGGGGGCTTTCGCCAAGCGCTGTCCTCGAGGGCCTGGCCCCTCGACACGGCTCCAGTGCTGCTTCTGCCTCCCATACTTGCCAGGCGAGACGCCTGCATCTTTAATTAGCAAGCAGCAGCCTCTCCCGATTCATCACAGTCACTGTTTAATTAGCCGCGCACAAGGCGCCCCTACCCCCCAGCTCTGGGTCGAGCAGCCTGCCTCTCTCATGGATGCTGCTACCACCTCGTGGTGTCCCCTGTCACCCCCCCATACTTATTCTGCTCCCCAGATTGGGGGATGGGGCAGGCACGCCTGGCTGAAACCTCAAGGAGATTCTGGGCACTGACGCTTGTGTTCACGGCCTCCAGCAAACATGATTAGGGCCTCCGGACCGCACCAGGCTGGCGCTGGGCAGAGCCCCGGCTGGACAGGGGCGGCTGGCCTCAGTCCTGACCGCTCCAGAACGGCTTTTCCCTTTGGGAGGTGTTGGGACATCTCTCCAGCCGGACCCAGGGAGTTGGGAAAAGACAGTCATAGTCCTTGACGTTGTCCCCCTTCCAGAAAGGAACAACCATGTCTGCTCCCCTGCTTCTGTCCCAGAGACCAGCAGGGTCCCCTGAGAAGGCTGCATGCTCCGGGGAGTAGAGAGCCCATCCCCCAAACCTGCCTCTTCCACTGACTGGATCCCGAAGGCCCCAGCCTCAGGCAGAGGGAGACGGTGGGGGTCTCAGCCCTTCAGCCCAGGTCTTTGTCTGCAGGGCCCTGGGGATCAGGGGCGCAGGAGGGAGCCCCGTCTGTGACTGAGCTCACTGCCCTCTGTTTCCTGAAGTGGGGCGGGGCTGGTGGCCCTGGGAGAGGCCTCACACCCTTCCGGGCAGAGCCCGGGCAGCCGCCGCCTGCGGCGGCCAGCTGGAGGCAGGAAGCTCAGGTTCCACCCCAGCCCTGCGCGCAGTTCCATCCTGTGGCTCAGGCCGCACTGGGAGCTCAGCGTCCCGGCCGGCCGGGGCTGTGCGCTGACCCTCCTGCCCCCACGGGGACGAAGCGTGTGGAGGGGCCGGCATTTGTTCTGGTACCTGAGGAAGGTGCTAGAGCCCAGCCACTCGGCACAGCCACCAAACCGTGCTGTGCCTCAGTCTCCCCAAATTAGTAGCTGCCACAGAAGTTGTTGTGAGGAGTAAGCGGTTTGCAGTGCTTAGTGCACTCTGAACAGTGCCTGACAGAGGGAGTCCCCAGTAACCACTGGCTGTTTTTGCCACATTTCCCCCTCCTTTTGCCCTTCACTGTCCACTGCCAGGTGTGAGGGAGCTCGGGGTAAGAGAGGTGACCCCGCTTTCCAGGTTTTCCTTCCAGCAGGGGAAGCAGCTGGAAAAGAGTACGTAGACAAAGGAGAAATGAAATTTCACCTAAGAACACCTGCAGGTTAGGTTAGGGTGGAGCCCAGCGTTAATTTCTTGTTTGTGTACTTGAACAATGATTAAAATAAAATTTTTAAAAAATTTCTTGTTTGAGACTGAAGGGCCACGGCTGGTCCTGGGCGTTAGGAGAACTGGGTGAAGTGTCTGCAGGAACCTCTGTGCTGTCTTTGAAACTTTTCTGTGGATCTAAAGTTGCTCCCACAAAAAACATTTATTTAAAAAAGTACTGTTTGGGGTAATGGTGCAAACCATGAAGAAAAGAAATGAGCAAGAGCCAGAGAAGAGGGTGGGGGCCATTTCAGACAGGGTGCTCCGGGAGGAACTGAGTCAGGGAAGGAGCCGGCCTTCAGGAGGTCAGGGAAGGGCCTGTCAGGAGCGGGGAAGAGCCAGCATGGAGGCCTGGAGGCAGGGATTGACCGAGGAGGCTGGAGGTCCAGGGCAGGCGGGGTGGGAGGGGCTCGGTGGCTGCAGAGGAGCTCTGAGAAGTGGGCAGCTCCCCTTCAACGGCATCTGTCCTTTCAAAGGACAGGAAGGAGGAAGGGGACTCTGGGCCGGAAACTGTATCTCACACCTTCCACGAACTAGTGCCCCGTCTTAGCCCTTACAGTTACTCTGTGGGGAAGGCACCGTCCTCTCACTTACAGGTGAGATGGGGGAGGGGCAGCCACCAGTCCACATCACCTGGTGAGCGACAGGCCTGTGCTTGGAAGGAGAGACCTCATGGACCTGGAGGCTGCACTGTGGCCTTGCCGCAAGACAGGGAGTGGGCAGCCCCGGCCAGCGTGGCTCAGTCGGGTGGGCGTTGCCCTGCAGAGTGAAAGGTCGCTGGTTTGATGCCCAGGTCAGGGCACATGCCTGGGTTGTGACCTGGTCCCCAGTTGGGTCGCATGTGAGAGGCAACTTCCCCTCTCTCTAAAAATAAATTAATAAAAGCATTTAAAAAAAAACAAACAAAGACAGGGAGTGGGCTAAAAGGCCGGGCCAGGGCAAAGGCCTGGGCGTGGCTGCAGACAGGCGTGCCAGGCTGGAGGCAGGGACACCCGAGCGATGGGGCCTCTGGCCAGCACGAGACAGGGTGTCAGGGCAGGAGAGCATCGGTGTACGAGGGACATAATGGATTTCGGTAATGGCAACACTCCATGTACGTCAGACACAATTCTGAGGGTAGAATGTAACACACAGGGACAAGTCTGGTCCCCTGCCACCCACTTTCCCTCCCCAGAGAGGCCCTCCGGGGCCTGTTTCTCGTGCAGCCTTCTGCGGCGGGCCTGGATGGCAGGCCTTGACCTCAGCGCCGGGGACGACCAGCGGCTCCCGGGGCCGGCCCCGCACCGCCGGCCGGAACGCCCTGGGCACGCTGTCGCCTCTTCCAGTCCTCCGCCAAGCCTGGCCGAGCATGCATCGAGCTTTCCATTTCAAATTGGAGTAAATGGAGGAAAAGACAGGTTAAGTCACTCACCCAAGGTCACCCAGCTGACACAGGGTTCACACTCGGGGACTCTGGTAGCACGATGTAGATGGGAAAACTAAGGCAGAGAGAAGCTGAGTAACAGCCCCAGGTGACCCAGGTAACCCTGGCTCCTCAAGGAGGTTGAGGAGCCAGGACCTGAGTCTGGCAGGCTCGTTCCAGAGCCCACACCTGTGACCACAGCACTGTACAGGGAGAAAGGACCCCCCCCAAAATTCAGAGTCAGCCAGACCCAGGAGTGATGCCCGTTACTGCCCAGGTACAGGGCCACAGGCACATCACTGTCCTTCCTGCCTCCGTCTTGCCCAGCCGGGGCAGAAGAGGAAGATTGCCTCTCGGAGGGCTTAAGGGTGAGCTAGATCGGTGGGAGGGCCCTCTCCTATGGCCACTTCCTGTGATGGGCAGGAAGGAGGGTGTGGCCAGGTGGCTGTCTCAGGGGACCCAGAGCTCAAGGTGGGGCTTTCCTTCCCTTCGGCTATGCAAACAGAGCAGGTGAGGGGCCACCCCAGGAGAGGGATGGGTGGAACCCCACCTCTGCCTTGACCTCCTGCCTGGCCAACAGCCACACCCCTGAGCCAGGAATTCTTCAGGGTCAGAAGAGGGCAAGGGGATTCCAAAGGTGGTTTTCCAAAAGTGATGGGCCCAGGCCTTAACCTCCGCCCCCAGGATGGGTGCCAGGACCCTGAGAGGCGGGCTCACGGCCGAGCAGGTCTCATGGAAGGAAGCCGCAGTCAGGAGCAGGCAGGAATCGTACAGAAATGGGCTGCCCAGCCCAGGTGCCGGCTCAGGCTGGGTTTCCAGGGAGGTCTTTGAGTCAGCAGGGCCACCTCAGGCTGGTGGGCTGGTGTTCAGCTCTGCAGGCTCAGAAAACTGACTTATCTACCTGTCCCCCCAAACCCCCCAGGACAATCAGATTCCGGGGGCTGAAACGGCCGGATTCTCAGCACATGGAGACAAACCCAAATGCCACTTCCACCTACAACGAGGGCCCGCCCACCAGGGGCTGGGCCACGTCAGCCTTCCGTCTGGCCCCCTTCTGCACACCCCAGGCCCGAGAACCCGAGCTCGTGTCGAGGAGGGGGCCTGGGGACCACACACGCACGGACAGGTCTTGGCGCGTTCCTTGACCTCGCTGAGGTGGCGCTGCCTCAGCCAGGCTGTCTCGAAGGCTCAGTGGAGCGGGGAAGTGCTGGGGCTGGGGTGGGGGGGGTTGGTAAACCCAGGCTTGGGTCCAAATCCCAGCTCTGCTGCCTCCCTGGGCGTGCCAATGCACCACAGTGAGCCTCAGTTTCTCCATCTGTAAAGTGGGGCTGTTACCAGAATTGAGATCTCCTCATAAAGATAGGGCTTCTGCCACGATGCCTGCTATGTATGTGGTCGGGGCTCGGTGAATGTCATTCTCCTCCATTGACTAGCTGATTAATCTTATTTTCCAAACTCCACAGGGCCTAGAGACAAACTTTGGCACTTGTCCCGTGTTCACGCGGCAGTCTGGAAGATGTGCTTATGTTGCCAAATGTTGGAATGGCTGAAACATTTAGAGGGAGATGGGAGGGACAGTTTGCCAGCAGCACTGGCCCCGCGAACGGCACCCGGTGGCTGCAGGGCCTCCGCTGCCGCCACCAGGGGACTCGGACGCCGCATACACCTCCTTCGCCCGAGGCTGGGCTGGCTCAAGCCACAGAGGCTTCTTTTTGGCAACTCTTCTTTCTAGAAGCCTCCTGGAAGACACTGCCTTCTGTCCTGACAATGTTCTGGGTGTTCTGTCTGGTCTGTGGGAGCCACAGGGGGCTGCAGGGGGTGGGAGGGAGCTGGCCACTCCCCCCCCACCCAGGGGCCCTCCCTGCTCCGACCTCTGGAGCGGGGCTGGGAGCACATCACACAGGCTGGCGCTTCCCCGTGGGCCCGTGGGAAAGTGCTTGAAAAACTGGAAGGGGCTTTTCAAAGGCAGAGGCGGTGATTTTTAGAAGAGCTTCTGTCTTTTCCACGAGGCAGAAACGATGAGCTGGAAATGACCTTGACTATCAGTGCTTTTCCAGGAGGATGTTAAATTGACATTGGGTAGAAGAGGGTGCTCGTGGTCAAATAAATTTGGGAAACACCAACTTAAACATCTGACAGGGTTCTTCTCTGCAGGGTTTCTCAGAGCCTTTCTTGTGCGTCTCTGAAGTTCTGAGAGGCGGCAGCTCCATCGATGCCAGCAGCCGGGCCTGTCTGATGCGCCCTCTGCAGTGGTCCTGGAGCGCCTGTCGGCTCGGAGGGCTGTGAAAACCACTCTGGGAAAGGCC